GACTGGAGCTTCTCTTATATACTTCCCTTTAATCCGGTGTTGATTTGAATAAGTAAATCATCTAATATGAAATAACTTTTTTGTTTCAGATATGGGAACTGGTGGACAGCAAGATGGGTTATTTGACCAGGAGCGGATTATACAAGGGTCTTGCTCTAGTCGCTTTTGCTCAGCAAGGAAAACACCCCAGCGACAAACTTTTGGAGAACTCCGAATCTCAAGGTTCGCGTGTTTCTCATAATTTTTAACAAAATAATTATATCGCTACCATATATCAAAAGAAAGACGATAATGTATGTAGTATCTCGACGCTCCCAATTTTAAACATTTGCTTTCTTAGCAAAACATTGAGATTACGATAAGTTTGGTAAGGAAAAGTCTTATGAAAATAATGCGATTTCATTGGTCGTGTTCCAACTCAGTTGGACATTTAAGGAAATCTTCTGAAGGAAAGGTGGACGACCTGATACGTAAAGTAGATTGTGATGTAGAATAACGGATACTTTTAACAATCAGAACATTGTTAACATAGTCGCTGTAATTGAAACGTTATCGGTACAGGAGCTGAGATAATGCTTAAACATACCTCAACTAACATCCGTGCGAAGAAACCCGGTTTTTAATGGTGTCACTGACCAACACAATCAGTTCTTGTTTTTCTTATCGTTAAAAGGCTAGATTTTTATCACGGTTGAAGGAGGTCCACGGGAAATGCACCGTTCTTCCGGTAATCTTTCTCACCGCCACTCTGTCTACGGGAACAATTTCTTTGTGAAACGTGCACCGTGAATTTCCTTTCTTTAATCATTATTTAATTTTATAATAAAATAAATATCTATCCTCTATAAATAAAACTCCACTTCCTTATTTTAAAACGATAATTATATTATTTTTAAATATTGCCCGTTTGGCAAAATGTCAAATGGATCACTTTTCTACCTCGTTTTCTATGATTTTACAGATTTCTAATTTATTTAAAAAACACAGTCCTTCGAATTTTGAAATTTTTATACATTTTTATTTCTGTTTCATAGAATTGCCTGTTCCTGTACTGGGTGACCTATCCGAGGTAACACTCCTGGCCCAAAGGCTGCAGAAAGGTAGCAATCCTGCAAAACTGAATCTCACCTATTCGGATATATGTAATTTGGACACGATAGAAGTTAATCTAGTGCCTGAGAAGAAAGGAATTTTTCTAAAACACGTGGAATATCAAGTAACGAGCAAGGTAATATTTCTTACATGAAGAAGAAATTATAGAATGATATATTGAATATAAATTTTATTTTCAGAGATTTAATTCCGTCGTTTATAGACGTTACAATGATTTCGTATCGTTACACGAACTTCTCTTAGCGAGATTTCCATACAGGTTGATACCGAAATTACCACCAAAAAAGATTGTAGGAGGTAAATTACACATCTTATAATTATTCATCTTTTGAATCTATTTCTTATTCTGTTCTCCATTATATCATCCATTTTTTTAAAACAATATTAATGGTATTTTATTTGCAGCGGATTCCCAGTTTCTGGAGGAAAGGAGACGCTCTCTTTTAAGATTCCTCACTGTAATCGCTCGTCATCCTGTGGTGAGCAAGGATCATATCGTCCAGTTCTTCTTCACGTATACCGGCGAAGAAACGCAACACAAAATTCGCGAAGTATTCAGGCGAATACCTGACGAATTTGCCACCTCAGAATTATCCTCGAGAGCGAAGGAACTGGTACCGCCTGAAACGTTAACCGAATTTGCGAACAGTCGCGATCAGATCAGAGTGATACTTCTTGGAATCTCTCGATTGAAAAACATTGCTGATTGTCTAGCAATTAGATCGCACAGCTACGCAGTTGACATGGCGGAATTAGGCACGCAGTTAAGTAATTTAGCCTCGGAACCTCATGGTACCACCACTTGGGCCAGTGGTGGTTCTACCGTTTGGCAAGAGATGAAGAAAGGTTTTCATATCATTTCAAAGTGGGTATTATAAGCATAAAATTATTTACTCTTTTCTTTTCTTTATTAGTTAACGATGGAAATCAACGAGGAAGTTTCACAAAGACAGAATTACCATTCATGACTGTTAATTTCAGAGAATTCAACCTACTCTCGACGAGAGCTCTTCAGCAAGCAGTCAGAGAAGAAACGATGGTATGTGAAAGGCTGAATCTCCTTCTGGATGTTTTAGTAGCTCATAGAATATTATGTGAGAGGCATGAGCGTGGAGTCAGCGCTGACCATCAGCGAGCTTTGTCTACCATGCTGTCCTTAAAGAAGAGGCAAATGCAAGGAGTCATTCGAGGCACTGATGTAAGTGAATCTTCTGAGAGGTATTCAAACAACAGACGATGATTTTTAAAGCTCCAAGAAAGATATATTTATCCGGTGATTTAACTCGATTCATTGTTATCGTGTTCGCTAGTCATTACGTGATTATTCTGAAATTACCCAAGGTCTTTTATGTTAATGAAAGAGGAAAAATGTAATATATAATTTCAAGTTTGTATCGTCTTACATAATCTCGTCTAATTGAAAGCAGACTGTATTCATTATGAGAATTATTGAATTTTTTCATTTTATAAACAGAGCGACACGGTTGAGTACCTGGAAAATAAGATGGTCGCTCAGGAATCTGTAATTGCGAACGTCGAGCTACGAAATTGCTTCTCATTACATTGCTTACACATGGAGACACAACTCGTTCATGCACACTTAGAGATACTTGCTACGGTCTTACAGAGTCTTGTAAACGTGCAAATTCGTGGACATTCCGAGGTGAGATACCATAAATATTTATCCTGTATTTAAAATTCTGTCATAATTATTTTAATCTTTTATGCTATCTGAAACTTAGATTCTGGTAAGTGCAACATATTAATTGTTTAAGAAGAAAAGAGCAATAATTACACTGATGATTTTCAGTAATTATATAGAGATACAAATGAGTAATAATTATGTTTACAACTTGCATTTTGAACACGTTACAGCTTGCTGAAGTGTGGAAGTTAATAGAGCCAACGATTATGAAATGTTTACCAGAGAAATCAACCAGTGGTTCAAATGGAATTTCATAGCGAAGAGAATTTATTATTTTGTGTCGAATTTTTACCTACTGCACAAATTTCGCGATTACATAGATCTAATCCCCTGTTGTGCAAGGTAAAACTCACTGTTATAAGATGGTTGTTAGAAAGAAAAACTTTCAAAGTGATTTTAATATACAACTTTAAAGCATTCGTACCGATTGAATATATCCGAACAAGATATTAAACATATTATATGTAATCGTAATAAATGCTAATAATTTTCAAAAATCGGGTGCAATAACTATTACCTACACTGACGTGTGTGTAGACCCAGAATGTTGTATAATATAGAAGATATACAATTTCAAGACTTTTAAAACATTCCTTGTTGTGTACTTAATATATTTTATGAGCTGATTGATAACCGCGAACTAGATGATAATATAATGTTGTATATATATATAATAAGTTACGTTTTCTTTTGTAAAGTAATTGCACAATACATCAAGGTACCGGTATAAAAACTGCAAAACAATTGTAAATATTTTGTTTATCAAGATAGTATGTTTTTATACGAGTCAGAAGTCTGAAGAGTTTTAACATAATTTCCACATGCCACGTTGATCGTGGATATTTTAAATATTTTATATACATTTACATACGATACTCGACTTTGTATAATAATAACAAAATATATGTTGCTATTATATAATTATATATTTATTTACTCCTGCATTCCCATTTAAAGTCAATTATTAAATTAAAACATCAAAAATGTTATTGGTATTAAATAATAAAAATTAATAGGATGATGAATGTTTGAAAAAACATTGTACAGCGCTGAGTATTTCCTAAGGGAAAATGGCAATGTCCTCCTCCCATCGTGAAGGTCCTTAGACCTTCATTATCAAATATCTTGACAAAATTTAACTTGTTGCATTAAAATTTTTAATTTTTATCACTTGCCACGGGCGCTTCATACCCTCGTTACAGCTCTGAGTCAGCGCTTCGGGGTCCCTGATACCCCAAGATATCATGTCGATAAGTAGAGAGCGCTACTGATGCATCGGGGTCCTTGGAACCCCAGATGCCATAATGTCGGTAGGCAGTATAGCTGATGCATCGGGGTCCTTAGAACCCCAGATGCCATAATGTCGGTAGGCAGTATAGCTGATGCATCGGGGTCCTTAGAACCCCGGATGCCATAATGTGGGTATGTAATATCGCTGGTGCTTCGGGGTCCCTGACACCCCAAGATATCAAGTCGGTAAGCAGATAGCTTCGCGGATGCATCGGGGTCCTTGGAACCCCGGATGCCATTATGTAGGGATGTAATGTCGCTGGTGCTTCGGGGTCCTTGACACCCCAGATATCAAGTCGGTAAGGAGATAGCTTCACTGATGCATCGGGGTCCTTGGAACCCCGGATGCCATGATATAGGTATATAATGTCGCTTGTGCTTCGGGGTCCCTGACACCCCAAGATATCAAGTCGGTAAGCAGATAGCTTCGCGGTTGCATCGGGGTCCTTGGAACCCCGGATGCCATAATGTAGGGATGTAATATCGCTGGTGCTTCGGGGTCCTTGACACCCCAGGATATCAAGTCGGTAAGCAGATAGCTTCACTGATGCATCGGGGTCCTTGGGACCCCGGATGCCGTCATATAGCTATGTAATGTCGCTGGTGCTTCGGGGTCCCTGGAACCCCGGATACCATAATGTCGGTATGCAAATAGCGTCACCCGCGCTTCGGGGTCCCTAACACCCCAAGATGATATCAGGTCCGTATCTAGAGAGCTGAATACATCTCTTTTATGTTTTTATTATATTTTAATATACATATACTTATGTTTTGTATGTCTCTTATTTTGACGTCATTGAATATGAATAAAAATTAGTTCTTGTTTAGGTTATAGTTTATTTATTCATACAAATACCTTGATAAATACATTATTGTATATACAGACAACTCATTTTGATAAGGTCAATAGTATTTATTGCATTTAGTAAAATTTAACTTGTTACATTAAAATTTTTAATTTATTTTGTTATTATTGGATTACGAGAAGGCGCAAGTTAGACACTTGCCACAGGCGCTTCATATTCTCGTTACGGCACTGCTTAGATTTGTCGTAGACTTATACACACAACAAGATATATTATTTATCACCTTAGCTTGAATGCATATAATCTGTTCCCAATTTTAAGGTGAATCGTATTAACGTTTATGTACCTTTCTTCTTCATGATCAGCCAAAAGTTGATTTAATTTTGTAGTCAAAATGTATAAACGGTCATTTAAACTTGCAATTTCATTACCAAGGCACCATAGAAAACTAATATGATAGGATGAATCCTATAAAAAAATTTGTAAAACACTGTTTGTATAAGATATTTAAATAAGAATGTTATAATTTCCAATAATATGTATATGTATCTGAAAATTCCTTATGTATATATATATTTCTTACCTCATAAAATGGTGGTAACTCATATTCAGCAAGAACATTATTAAGATGTTTTATAAAGTGAGCAAGTATTCCTTTTGACTCAAAACATTCTATTCCAAGAAATGTGCGTGTTGTCTCTTCATTAGTATATGCTCTTACATTCAGAAGTTCCAAATTGAACCTGTTTGTCTGTTCACATAGTTTCTTCACTTCCTCTACGAAGGAATCAATCCAATGAAACTTCAAAATTAATGTTCTTGTTACACTAATATGAAACTCTTCAGAAAATATATTACACTTAATTGGTACTTCTCTCAATATTGAAAACATCCATGATGTCATGGTCTCACTAGGTTCATCTGAAATTTTCAAATGTTATAATGATCTTACCTATATAATTTAAAGAGTGATGTTTACTTGAATTTCGATACTAACAGTTAATGTAGGCCAAGGTAGCCCAGTTACCACGTTCATGTTTGAAACTTCTCATTCGTCCCCCATGCTGATTTGGATTATCATCAATTTCTTCATGATGTGGAACACCTTTCCATGATGCTATACTACCAGGTAAAGGTAGACTAAAAATATATACATATATAAGCATTTATATTTTAATATGTTTATATTTATTATAAATCTAATTATTAAAAGTAAGATAGATACCGTTTAGGAACTTCAATAACTTTGTGGCTATCATTGTTATCTTCATCATCTTCAGAATCAGAAGAAGTATACGTTTGTAGTAAATTTAAACCTGACATCGTATATTTATAAACATTTACATTTGCGTTCTTCCATACTTTAAGGTTATATTTTGAAGCTTATTGTTTCTTCTAAAATATGATTATTACAACATACTGCCATATCAAATGAATTTTATTTATATAGAAAACAACTTATAATTCGAACCATTATCAACTGTTCGACGTAGAGCGAAGTGAAACATCAGCACTCTTATACCGACCGCCGAGGGGTGCAGATCTACCTGCTAAACATGCATATACCTTTATTTTATTTTCTGCGTTCATTTAATTTGCTGTATTTATCTTCTTAGCTTATTGAATAAACTCATTAAGAGGACGAACGTGTTGATTTTATTATTCCCGTATGCATTCTTGACATCCCTAATTCCTTGACATCCCTGATTCCTTTACATCCCTGATTCCTTTACATCGCTGATTCCTTTACATCCCTGATTCCTTTACATCCCTGATTCCTTTACATCCCTGTTTCCTTTACATCCCTGTATTCCGCACATCCCTACATTCCTAACATCCCTGCATTCCTTACATCCCTTTATCACTTATATCCTTGAAAAGACGCTTTCGGCGTTCGTAACAGCGCCCTCTAGTGGCGAAAAAAAGAACTAAAGTACAAATAAATTTAGCGCCATCTGGTTTTTGAAAAAGGAACTATATCAAGCAGAGATTTTGGCCCTCTAGCGGCAAAAATGTGAACTAAAATCTCGACCTCGAATCAGCGCCATCTGGTTTTTGAAAAAGGAACTAAATCAGGTCGAGATTTTGGCCCTCTGGCGGCAAAAATGTGAACTAAAATCTCGACCTCGAATCAGCGCCATCTGGTTTTTGAAAAAGGAACTAAATCAGGTCGAGATTTTGGCCCTCTGGCGGCAAAAATGTGAACTAAAATCTCGACCTCGAATCAGCGCCATCTGGTTTTTGAAAAAGGAACTAAATCAAGTCGAGATTTTGGCCCTCTGGCGGCAAAAATGTGAACTAAAATCTCGACCTCGAATCAGCGCCATCTGGCAGTAAAAAGAGGAACTAAATTTTGTAAAAATTTAAATTTAAAATTATGTTTTACGAGACTTTACTTACCTTTACTTACCTTTACTCGAATCAGTGGCCATAAGTATATTATTTATAATATATTTATTATAAGGGTTGAAGGGATACAAGAGATGCAGGGAGAATTTAGGAGTGTAAGGGATACAGAGATATAAAGGGTACAGAGATGTAAGGGATGCAAAAATGTAAGGGATACAGAGATATAAAGCGTACAGAGATGTAAGGGATGCAAAAATATGAGGGATACAGAGATGTAAGGGATGCAAAAATGTAAGGAATACAGAGATATAAAATGTACAGAGATGTAAGGGATGCAAAAATGTAAGGGATACAGAGATGTAAGGAATGCCGAGATATAAAGAAAGCAAGGATGTAAGGGATTCGTGGATGTAAGGAATGCTGGAATGTAAAGGATGCACATGGGAGTAATAAAATACCCTATATAAGTAGATAAAATTTATTTATAGATAGATAGATAGATAGACACTATAATATATTATACAATTCAGAATTTATATACAAATAATATATTACAAAATTAATAATAAATATATTTGAAATTTTATTATATTACAGTTGTACTTTAGTACTTGTTTAACAGTACTTCTTCTATAATATTGTACGTAAAAAATATTTTATTCACTAAAATCTTCTTCATCACTAAAGTATTGATTTTTCTTATATCGTTTGCCCGATTTTTGAGTTAGCCGATTTTCTTCTTCATACCCTTTAGCTCCTAATCTCTGACTGTTTTCAAATTCTTTTTGTCTTTGCTGAAATGAAAAAATATATTATGAAATATTTGTTAAATTAATTCTCAAAAGTGGATCTTTAATTTTTATCTTTTAGATATTGCTTTTGTAATACTTTTAAATTTTTGCATTACCTCCAGTGCAATGGCAGCACTTAATGTTTCTACTTCCTCTTCCCAATTATCATCAACCATTTCATCATCACTGTTTTTGTTAAAATCATTACTATGATGGCTACTGATAGATTTATGCTTCTTTCTTATTCTGGCTTTTTTTAATGGTGGATTCCTGGGACCTAGTGTATTACTTCTACAATTATATGACAAATGTCCTTCTTCTCCACATTCAAAACACTGAGATTTATCTGGATAATCTCTTCTGCGTATAAATTCAGTACTACGTCCATTATCCACTGCTATAGAACTTTTTATTGTACGGCCACCTATCTATTAAACCATCATTTATTACAGATTAACAGAAATTATTATTATTATAAGTGATGCAGCCACTTACTTCTGTGTTATTTAAATTTTTAGCACAAGACATGGCATCCTCTGGGGTAAGAAATAAGACAAAAGCAACACCTCTACTTCGTCGTGTGATTTTATTTTTCATTATTGTCACCCTGTGGAGAAAAAAATAAACCCATTTCATTTTAAAGTATTTATATTCTCAACATCTTAACTAATAATGCTGATAAATTTAAGAACACTATAAAAATTGTATAACTTAGAACTTACTTTACTATTTTTCCATAACTTTGTAATAGTTGATGTAGATCATTATTTGTTAAAGAGAAAGGTAAATTTGAAATATATACTGTTGATTTACTGGGCACTACCCCACCACTCATTGTTATATTTCAAGTTATTATTATAAAGGTATGAAATTTATTTGGCTTAACCACTAAAGAAAATGAATTATCATTGCTGGGTAAAAACCGCTCGAAGACGGGAAACAAGAAATTTGATTGCGCATCTGAAGACCAAGCAGCAATATGAAATATAATTTATGATTTAAGAAGAAATAATCCAATGGTTCGAGAAGAATAATATTTCAAATACGTCAGAAAAGGAATGTATCTCTCTTATCGGGCAATGAATTGCAAATATATAGCATGGAGACTATCAATGAAGTTACCCCAGCCGACTGGCACAACTTCTGCAAACATACATATAAAATAAGTTGATGCAGGATATTGCAAAAAAAATGGATTGATGGAGGAAATTTTCAACAGGACAGTTCAAGGAGCTTGATAATTCTAACTTTTGAATTTTCAAACACCGGTTTTCGGAAATATAGCCAAAAAATGAAATAGATACTGTTGCCAATGGCTTTAGTATTTATAAAATATTTAACATTAAATACAAAATTGTACAAATATTTTTAACACATTAATATTAAAACCTTTAAATAAGTATGTACAGAATGTTTTTTATATGATTATAAAATCATATAATTTACAGTTATATAAATAAAATACAACATATAAACTAAAGATATTACAAAATCATTCACAATACCACATTTGCTTGCTTTAATTTATACTGCATAATATCTAGATGACAAGAATTTTAATCTCAAATATATTATCATAAAAATTCAACAAACAGGAATTTAAAAGTAATATTAATACACTGTTAGTGTTTCATATGTTTATCACAGATTACATTCATCCTAGTGAGAGACAAGGCAGTTGTTAAATAATTTAAAAATGAACGACAATGTTGATTCTAAACATTTAATTGTTTGAATAACAATAAGAGTGTATAATATTAAAATAAGAATTTCTATTTTGTACAAGTGTTGCCACCTATCTATTAAAGCAAAGTAAATACGTCGTGAAGCACGAGAACTAAATTCACTCAGCCTTTCCACAGTATGATGTAGTTTTCCATCTTCATTGCATAATTTTTCTGTTAAAAGAAATATCAATTTCAATTATAACATAATATTAATACTTGTCTATGATATACTTCTGAGTGTCATACCTGTTTCATTACTATGAAATTCATCATAAGGAACAGGCAAATATTTATCTAACATTAACTCAACAAAATCAGTAGTATTATCGACAGTCTTTAAAATATTAATCCCTGTTTCAGTTGACATTACTCGATCTGCCTGTTGCCAACTATATATCCTTAAGTAATGAACTTTATAATAAGTCAGTAATGTCATAACTCTAACTTTATGTTTGGTTTCTTGTTTTAATTCAGTTAATGTTTTAACAGCTGGTTTGAGACGTTTAGATACAATAGACTTAGTACGATTAATTATCTGAAATAGTAAATACACATTCATTTTAATTGAAGTTAACTCCAATAGACCAATGAATATAAATATTAAAACTTGTGTAACCTGTTTTGGTTCTTCCTTGATTATAGGCAACTTTACTTCTACATAGTCCAGTCCTTGACAAAGTGTTTTATCCAAAGTATAAATTGGCTTTTCCATTAACTTAGCTACTGGTAATGATTTTTCAATTACAATATTGAAAACATTTTCCATTGTGTTAAATGCCCAATGAACGAATACATTTGTCTCTTTCACACGACCATATACTTCCATGGATTTATCCCACAGATAATTTACGCTTGGTATTTGACGTGCACGATTAACAGCTTGTATTTTATAAATACAATCTGGTAATTCTACTTCCATCTTAATAACTAATAAGTAAATCCTTTATCATAGGTAAAATAATTATTTTATCATAAATTAAATATCTGTAACATGTATAATTATCTATGAACTATAAAATTAAAAGTTTCATTATATATCAGCATTATTTATTTTACTTAAGACCTATTTTAATTAATTAGCGTACGTTTTGTTTTAAATAACATATGGTACAAATTACGAAAATCTAAAATTCATTTAATAATATATTTATGTAGCAAATATTTTAAAAATTATATCTGTAGTAAAGAAAAGTGATTGACACTTACCCAGTATAATAAATCTCCTTCAAAATGCGTACTCTTACATTTGCTTTGTTTTTCTCAATAGCTAAACATAAACTTTGAACTCTGAGTCGTTTTACTGGGGAATTGTTTGCTCGACAATCGACAATATAATACAAATTACTTATTCTTCTGTTGCAAAGTATTATAAGTCCGTGGAATTTTTCAGAATACGATATCGGTATTTCTTAAAACGGCGTATGAGTGCGCTACTATCATGTCTCTTTACACGTGATACATATATATCTTTGTAACAAAAATGATATATTATTGCAAAATTTACATTTTAATTTTATACTTTTAACCAATTACAAATATGCCGAAAACATGTTAAATAGTAAAATCATTAAAGATATTTTCGTTTAAAATAAAAGAAGCATTGTTTAAAAAAAATTTCTTTTAGAAGATTACCATCAAAATGTTTATGAACTCATAATTATTTGCGATAATTATTGAAATAATCTTTGATAAGGGAAACATGAGTTTATTTATATTTATAACTAAAAAAGGCTTAAGTTGCGTGCAACCATCCAAGCCAACTCCGGAATTCTTGTCCATATCTCAATGGATGTATAATAAAATGAAATGTGATCGCTTATCGCTTGCCGCAAATGTTATTATGTTACAATATATCATTTTATGTTCTCATTGCAGACTTAAGGTTCGACATTAATACTAAAAAATATGCTGTATTTTTAATAACTTGAAATTTAAAAAAAATCATAAATTACAATATTCGTTGTACAATAAAGTACATAAAATAACGTAATTTGATAAATTTTCCAAGTTCTATTTTGCGATATTCTTCTGGAATGAACGATCAAGACAGCTAGGAGTCGAGGAAATGAAATTAATTAGTTAATTATCTGCAAGCTGGTGGGTGCACAGACGATGCGACAAGAAGTTGTTAACCTGACCCACTGTCTCAGTATCTCCTAAAGGAAACTGTTTGCAAATAGCTACTTTAGATATCCTGTGATGAAGAAAAATTCTTGTAGGTCATTTGAGTAGTACATCAAGATAATAATCATTTATATAAAAATATTAGAAACGTTAACAACGATGTGGCAGCAATATTTAATAATCTGAAAAGAATACTTATACGAGAAAAATATAATATTCAAATATATATTCTTTAATATAATACTTGTAAACGCTTTGTATACAAAAAATATAAAGTGCAAATACATATTTCAGATATTACGATATAAAAGTTTCTTAAATTTTAAATTGAGTGTTTTGTACCATGAACAATAACTTTTATATCCAAGGATAGCATGAAATTTTGTATAATATTCAACTGAAATTATATAATTAGTTATCTGTGGATGTTTATGTAAATGCGCATTTGTATATTATAACTGAGCTGTAGACAAACACATTTTTTTCTTATTAGATGATTCTAAAAATATAGATATTTATTTTGCGTAATGCATGCACATATTTTGTGCATACAGTAAAATCTCTCTAATAATTTAATTGTAAAAAAAAGTAAAATTAAGAAACTTATTTCTTTATTATAAACTGAACTCTTACCAAAGAAGCCGCGTCGCGTGTTGCGTGACTGACTTCAATGAAGAGAATATAAATGTTGGATGAGACATACCTAGACGTAGGACGAAACCGGTGGATACTATGAGCAGGGCAACAAAAGGACAACTAGAGAAATTTTACTGTATCCCACTGATTGATCACCATGTTCAAAATCAGCCTGTAAAATAATTGACAAATAAATTATTAATAGCTTTACATATACTTTGTATATTTTGATATGTTATAATTGCATAAACATCCGCAATCTAATGATTAAAATGAATTTAGATATCTTTTTTTTTCACATTCCTAGTTGAAAAAGAGCAATTACCATATTAGGTGTTCTATTCCATTCACTTATATACAATTATTCTGTAAAAGATTATATAAAATAATATTTTTAATAATAAAATCTTATACATATTAGTATATAAATACTAACACAAATAAATCATCAATTTATTTGTTTCCTTTATTTCCCTCCATTGGACTTTGTGCTTCCTTATCATTCTGTTTGTCATTTAAACTTAAGAAATGTGTTAGATGAAGTATAGATACAACATTAGATATGTACGATGTCACGTCTTCTTTTTTCACTGTTTTTAATTGTGCTGCGACCGAATGGTATACTCTGTTGGCAGTTTTCGATGATAATTGACCAATGGTTTGTACTGCGTGTAAAACTTTGTTTTCATCAGCCGACACCGGAACTATAATAAAAATTTATAATGTAGTCTTTCAGTTTTGTAAAAAAAAATATATGCTGTGTAGGCAGTCCTAGCAAAATAAAGGTAAAGGTTTTGACATTTTGCAAGTACTATCTCTCCTTAAAGTTTTTAATATATATATATACCAGGTTTGTTTTCTTCTCCTTGAACTGGTGGAAAATAGCGATCCAATAAACGATTAATGAGAACACTTGTATTATCTACACCTTGTACAGCCATATTTCCATACTGTGTGTTCAGCAATTCATTAGCCTTTACTATACTAATTTCTTTGAGCGTAGATGCTTGTTGGGTTGCTGATTCTTTTGCAGTGTACAGTTTATCAATTGTTGGTTGTAGGGAGCTGCTCATTACTGCTTTGGCTGCATCATAAATCTATACACAATATTTAATACTCCTTTAATATTACATAGGTTTTAAGTTTTAAAAGATTCATTTAACAAACCATTCGAAAATAAAACAAGTCACAAATGTAGACATAATTATACCTTTCTACTTTTAAAATATAGTTAATTTCTAATTAGTAAATATAATGTTATTACTTAAAATAATACTTATTATGTAAAGTGTTTTTTAATGCCACATTTTAGTTTACCTGTTGAGGAGGCTTTTTCATAATAGGTACTTTTTCTTCAACTATATCTAAACCTTCACACAATTTCTGATCTACCGCAGTGATATGTCCTTCAAATTTTTTAGCTATAGGTGCAGCAATGGGAGCAGCCGTAGTAGTAGCATAGTGAAGGCCAGATTCAGCATAACTGAGTGCCCAGTTGATCAAATGATTAGAATCTTTCAAATAAGAATATGTGGATCCTGTTTTCTCGATTGCTGAATGTATAACAGGAATATTTTTCACACGATCTAGGACTTCAAGATGTGGGGTATCTTCTGACACAACATTGCATGTGACTTCCTTGGCTTCTGCCATTTTTTCTGAAAAAATTTAATACTATATTAGGAATTGTCCATTAGGAATTATATTTTCTATGTAACAATTACTAATTTATGAACATATATAAATAAATAAATAATAGGGTGCAGAATAAAATAAAATGTAGTAGTAGCTTTAATTTTAATAGCTTCATTTTATATAAAAACAATGGTTGCAAAACACGCGAATTATACTCATGCGAATCAAAAACACAAAAATACAAGTGCCATGAATGACAAAATCACTGTACGGTACTCAACTTGTTACAAGATTGCGTTTATAATTCATGCTTCGTTTGCTGGAAAACAAACAAAACGTATATTAAAAAGTACCATGATTAGACATTTATTTCCTGTGAATGTAACTGTTGAATCGCAACTTGTAAATTCGTAATATGAATGAATTTTATAGCTCGCATTCGTACTCTGTACTTTGATCCCAATAATTATGTCTCGAACAATGTTCTATAGTCTTGGGGAATATACACGATTCCCGTGGTATTATATCCTCAAATATTGAAGATATAAAAAAATGGTTTACGCAAATATTGTACGATATGAATTTATAATCAGTATTTATTTATTAATTAGTTTCGGGATATTATATTCACATATTCTAGCTTATAGTAGAAAAAAATTTCTAGAATGTGAAATAACAATGGCGGTCAGTTTTTGGATCCTATGGTACTTCCGGCGCGGACAGGCCTCCATCCAGTACTTTATGTTTTTTAGGGGCTTTATCTACTATAAATCAGTGAATTTGTAAGCAAAATATTAAGAAAATTAATTAATATTTAATAATTAAATTAATATTTAAAATGCATTATGTAATGAAAAAATTTTGAAAGAAAAAATACCACAAATGAGTATTTTTGTAACTATCTTATAACTGTTGAAGATAACAGTTTTCCAGTACGGTCTTCTGTTATCGAATTATCGATCATTATACAATGTGTAGTCATTTATTTATAGATGATATGCTATGCAATTATATTTGCCAGATATATTACACTTCTTATATACGTTGTCAATAAGGATTAATGTTTAATTATTTACATAATCGGACAAACAGTTAATCAAGGACGATGACGCATAAAAAAATATGATTAAAAATAAGACTGTAATAATACCGTTACATATTCATTAAAGTACATACAATCATCTTTTAAACTGCAAGTGTTTCGGTTATTTTTTAATGGTTAATAAATAAAAAATGAAAAATACGTAATTATTCATTAGTCATCATTATTATGAGTTTTTACGATTCACAGTAATGACATAAATATACATATATTAAAATAATTTTCAAGCTTTTATTCATTAATACCAATAAAATTAATTATTGTTACATTAGTGTGTGTGCAGTGGCATTAGTGTGTATTGTTATTATAGAACCACAGTTTGAATGCACCCAATATTTAAGTATCTATAGTAAAGACATGAATGAGGTTAATTAAACATTAATTATTAAAATTGATGTATACTTACTGTGCTTGATGCAACAGTTAGCAAGATGAAGTAACGGTACTAGACTCGTTTGTAAGCAACAACCCACACGACAGATTTAATAACACTGACGACAGACGACAGGTTCAGGCAGGTCTACGTAGAAATACAGTGATATAAAATGACGGTAGGTGGGGGTAGATGCACCTCAGGGCCGTAGAAAGTTACCCAGCTTTTACTGTAGTCTGCAGAAATAATTTAAATCAAACCCATTGTGTTTGTAATAATAAATAATTGTAAAATAATTGTTTAATAATTGTTGTAAAATAAATAATTCAATATTCCCACTGAATCTTCCAATATAAAATTCTGATACTTATTTTCTTATAAACAACTGATATCTATTTAATTAGCAGCAAATGTTTTCAGGATTATTGGATTTATAATTACTATGCAGTTTAAAGAACTTTTTAAATTGCAAATAGTCTTAAGTGTTACAAATTTAAATTTTTAAACCATGCCAGGTGTTCTGTATACATAATTAATCTATTGATTATCATTTTAAAAGACTGAATAAATTGAAGAATGTGTATAGGTGAACAGTCTAACCTAATTTAAAGTAAACAAACGATTGACACTGGTAAACATGGAATGATTACTTAAATACATATCTGCAAATGAAAATAATAGATTACTGGGTACTTTGATAAATATCTACATCGGTGGATATCTTTCTGCTTCTGCGCAGATGCATGTATAGCACACTCCAATAGGCACGTATGCGTCGTCTGTGACGTGGAGGTCATCGTCATTTCATTTTCGTAGTATGACTATGATGATTCATATTATTCATTAATCATTCGACGAAAGATGAGTTGGACAATTTTATGTTTGGACAAATTTAATGTTAGATATTAATCTTGAAGAGAAATAAATTTGTAGCTGTTCTAGTTAAGTCCTATATTCTCTGCAACTCATTATTGAAAGTAATCATTAATTAATAAATTGTTGTTGAGATACATAACTTTTAAACCCTGGGTGCTGTGAATATTAATAAAAAATAAATGTTGATATTTATAACCTATCAAAACAATTATTTATCAATGTTCATAGCTTAAATAATTGATAACCATTATGTTATCACTTATTTATGGTACATACTATACAATTGCAATTAATTTAAATTGGGGAATATGTAGGTACATATTTGTATCATAGAAAAATCAATATTTAGATATTTGTAAGGAACTTACATTCTTTCTACATTAATAACCATTAAATAAACAAATTCATTTCATCATCTCAAATTTATTTCACTTGTGTGGGTGTATATATAGCATATATAAAAGATAACAAAACTATTATAATTATGTACATACATATGTTGCACCATCCAAATACAACACAATTAAAAAAAATACACTATAATGACAAAAATGATTTTACGAAAAGATGGAGTTATATAGATTTTCTTTTTTTATAAATACTTATTAAACGTACAATATACTGAAATAAATAATGCATACGGAAAATAAATACGAAATCAATGGAGTTCACAGAAATTTTCCTTCAATGAACTGCCATTTTAATGTTCAGTTCACTTTCTTCGCTTCCGCGTTTGTAGTATTATTCATGTTAGGCGTATTCTCTTCCTCTTTATGCTTTAAAGTATGAAGGTAATTTGTGAATTGTAAAAAGTGTGCCACAGACCTAATGTAAGCTTTAAAATTATCTATGCTGAGGACCCTTAAGTGAAACATTATGTTTGAATACACTCGACGTACTGCTTTATTGGATAAACGGCTGACTGTATGCAAGGTGTGGAGCAGTTTATCTTTTTCGTTCGTGTTTATATCTGAAATGATAATAAAATATTATTTATTGGAAAATTGAATATTATTTAATAAATAAGTATTTAAATATTAATTTACTTTTAATTCCAAATTAATTTTTTGACTATTGGAATATTACTATCATTGTTAGAAAAAGCTGATAAATTAAATGAAAAATTTTAATTATTTGCGTAACGATCTACGCTAAATGAATTTACCTATTGCTTCTTCATCTTCTGTCGGAAGAAAATATTTATCGATCAGCTTATCAACAATATCAGCGGTGTTATCGATACCTCTGACAGCAGCACTTCCATACTGCGTTTCCAAAATTTGATTCGCTTTGTCCCAACTCTTATCTCTCAAGTTTACCGCTTGCGAAATAATTAAATGATTAACAAGCGAAATATTCGAAAGGGTTTGCAGTGCCAGCATATACGCATTTTCTAAAATCTAAGGAAAATATAACATTTGAATAAAACTTTGAATATTAATAATTTGTAATATTGTAATAAATCAAATATACAGAATTAAATAAAACTTTAATCATTTATAAATAGATATATCATTTATAGGTTTATTTTGAGTTGATGTTAAATTTTTGTTTTCGTAAACCGGAAGAAAGGTAGATTTCTAACCTGCTCAGGTTTCTCTTTGACCAATGGAACTTTTTCTTCGATTTTGTCGAGACCAAGGCACAACGTGTGGTCGACAAAGTGTATGAGGTTCTCGAGTTTCTTCACGATAGGAGCAACAGTGGGTACAGCTTTGTTAGTCGCAGTGCTCAAAGAAACTTCTGCAGTGGTGAAAGTCCAATGTACCAGTTGATGAGAGTCTTTCACACGTGAATAAGTTGCCGCTGATTTGGATATGGCACTTTCCACCACCGGAAGTTCTAACAAACGATGAAAGACTTCGATGTGAGGCAACTGCGCAACTTCCGTCGTCATTATCTTTGGATTTCCGGAAACTCGAAAACGACTTCAAAATCTAAAACATAAAATATTATATCGTCATTTCCAAGGTCGCTGGAAAGGTCGTAAAAAAAAAGATTCTTTCTATCGACAGAAGCGCCTCATTAATTTCAGTAATTTAACACTTTCACGGCCTCATATTTTCTGGAATTGCATGACTTGCAATTTTTACTTTCCTTTTATGTCTAGTATGAAATCATCGGCGGAATTACGATTGAGAATTTCATTAAATTTAGAATGTGTTAAATTAATTTTTCAACTGTAATTATCATCTGATATTTGACCGTCAAAGTGTTAATAATAAGAAATTTGTACTCTCTCATTTCGGTTGTTATATCGTTAAATAATTGAAACTTATGTTTCACGGAAAAATGATCAGTCTTTATAAGATTATATATTAAATATTTATTTATATTTAAGTAATATTATTAGGCGAATTAAAATTGCTTAAATATTAATAAATATCAAGTATGTATTATACGACATTAAGTAATACTGTAATAAATTTAACTTTGGGTTAGTATCTTTGTAAAATAAAAATATTAATATTACCTTACAATTCATAAATATTAAGAATGGATGAGCAATGCACTTTGTAATCTAACTCTGTATCAATATTATACTTTACGAATAAGATAATTAATCATTTTATGAAATTAATTATTGTATTAACATTACAATGTAGTATTATAAATCAATAAAAAATTGATATCTTAGATATATCTTATTTGTTGAACAAAAATGTATTAATTGACTGAAACGAACTTCTAGTTTATTCAGTTTTAAACCAGAGCATTTAGTAGAAATTTTAGATTCAAAACGCGGAAAAGAAGTGATATACCGTGATAATGGAGAGGTCAATGGACTTACTGAATATAATGCATACATAGATACATGTGCTATATATAACGTTTCCTTAGCTTTCGCTGGAACCATGATTTCACATAAGCTTTCACGAATTACAAACGTACTTATTCGATTTAGTATTTTGAAACTGAAAGTCAATACATATTTCCAAAACAAATTAACTTTCACCTTTAACTGTAGTGTACCTAGAATTTAGTGTATAAACTTTGACTTTGAAATAATAATTATTATTATATTCTAATTACACTATTAATATTAAATATAAATTAACATTATATTAAATTATTTTATTAATTATCAGTTGTATTACTTTCATGAATTTTTTTTATTTTTTCATGGCAATAAACAAATATGTAGACAAATATATGCTCGAAGACATATGAAATCATTTAAATAATAGAAATTTATAAAAATTACAAAATTACAATAATGCTTCAATAATATACTACTATTATTTACTATAGGTTTTCTTAACGCGTTGATTGTCACGAAGGTCAATAACGACTGGCACCTTAAATTCTATGTATTCGAACGATTAGTAAGAAAATCAATTTGAAAGTGAAAATTTTAAAAGTAACATACATCTGTTTTCAGACTGGAAATAAATAAATGTACGATGGAAAATAAATTAGTATATATTAATAATCCATGATTTTAACGACTGCTTATTCTAATATTAGATAATTAAGAATGGCAGAATAGATAAGATAAACTTTGAACGGCATTAGTATTATAATAATAATTATCAAAATAAAAGCCTAAATTACTATTTTAATCATTTTAATAACTTCAATAACCACTATTTTAATATCTAATTTCACTACAATAATTAATATATTTAAAAAACTAGAGAATTGCGTGTTAAACTTGTACGGTAAATTTGAATATTGGAGGATTTGTCCACCAATATTCAAATAAAAATCTAATATTCTAAACTATAACAGCGTCGAAATTTTTATTCTAATTTCAAACTGTTAGAAATTTTGAAAAATAAAATAAACCGCACAAGATAATTAGCAGAATTAATAACACGTTTTTTAAAGGATAAATGCACTTACATACGTGTTTGTCGTTGCCTGTTCGTTTTCTGTGTATCTGTCGCTGAGGTGTGGTTGCTATGAGTGCGTGAGTAGAAATGCGTTTGTCCAAACGCAGCCTGAACTCTTTATAACCGGCTTACCGTCTGCGCGTTAAGGTTCGTTCGAACGAGCCAATGAAAATCGACTGCGACTATCCGCAAGCGGTGATCAAACATGTGCTACAAGGCTTCAAAGTCCGCGACAGGCGACAGGGCTTTTGTCGTTATCAGCACCGCTGGGAAACTGTCACGTAAAAACGGATGAAAATCGGTGATCACTCGTAATCATCCACGACATCCGGAAAGGACTTTGTACGCATTGCATTTTCTAGTAATATTTAGCACAAATCGAGAAATTTTTCCCCCATGGTGTTATCACGTTCGTCACCCACTCACGTATACACGTATGACATCTTAGAATTTTGCAAATGAGATTGTATTTTTTATTTTATGCGTTTTAGAATTGTGAATGGGTTTTTCGAAATTTCAAGAAACATTAGATTCCTTGAAATTATATATATTTCTTTCTTATGCGATTTGAAATTCTTTGTAATTTTTAATTTTGAGAGCTTCGAATTTTGGAAATTTCAAATTTTAATTCCAACTCATTCCAGTTTAAAACAAATGAAAATCAACCATCTCATTACATTACATTGTTACCGTTTACTCGTCTTATCGGTTACGACATTACAGTGTGTAACTTGCAAACATTTGTTTCTATATTTGATAAGAGATCCGATAATTAAGTTCAAAGTAACAGTAATATTTCAGAAGATCTATTTAGCCATTTCTATTACTGCACTAGTAACCTTTCATAAGTTTAGTCGTAAATTTTACTAGGGTATTATCGGAGTCTTATAAACACTTTGCTACTTAAATGAGAAAAATTTATGCACACAGTGAACAATAAAAAAAAAATTTTAAGATTCCAAAATTTCAGGATTCTAATTCTAGATTCTAAAAATTGTATAATTCAAAAATTCAAAATTTTCTAAGAAACCCTGCGCATCGTAGAAGTAGGTTCAAGTTACGCCACTGTCTTAGGCACCTAAATAAAAATAGTTAGAAATTTTCTTCATGGTATGATAACAATCCAAAAACAAATAATCTTTATTTTTTTTTTGTACACTTTCTTACTTTTACAAGTTAGTATACATTTGTACGCTAGAGTGTAAGAACAAAGAAATCTTAACGTAAAGAATTGAAAGCTAACATTGGCATCGATATATTGTGCCAATGACAAAACAAAAGTATCCTCGTCTATTTGATTATTTCTTTTTAATCCTATTTTGGCGGTGGATTGGACGTTACTAACCTGTTCGGAAATTTCAATCCGTAGTCTTTCTTATTGTTACTGACCTTGAAACAGAAACTACTGCGAATTTGTTCGAACAGAATAACATGTAAACACGATTATGTTACTCGATACCATTTCGTGATGGGTTAGAAGACATCGACATGTGGTTGTTGTGATTCTGTTGATGACTTGGAACGTGCGTTACTTTGGAAACCGTTGGACGACCAGCCAGAAAAGCTGCAAACTGTTCCTGAAAAAGTTATTATTATGGAAACGTACTATGCACCAAACACAAGAAGTTTCGCGCGTCGGCACAGAGGCAAGAGGAGTACTGCGCATGCGTCGACTAACCCCCTAGTTTTACTCGAGTCTAAATAGTGACGCGACCGCTTCGACCAATCATATGTCAGGACTGAAAGTGCGCGGGGTACGGCCAATCAGATTGCGTTATTCTCGTGAGACTTCTGTTTCGAATTATTTCGAATAGAATTAGAAATCATATAAACTTGTCATTTATGTAAATTACTAGAATAATCTAAAAAATAACTATTATACTTAATAATTCAGTCACTTGACATTCTGGCCCTCGGTGAGGGTTGAAAGAGGTTATAAATTAAATCGTTGGGTCTTAGACTGGTCATAAACCAAACCATTAAATTTTACAGCTTAATTACCCCTTCGAGGGTCGAATTTCGCGTCCTTTTGACTAATTTTAACTACCCCATTGAATCCCATCGTCCCTCCGCTATGCGTAGATTTATTCAACTGGGCCAGAACGTGTTACAAGGCACCTTTGAGCTACAGTCGACTCTCGTTATATTGTTATGTGAGTGATTTGACCTTAACATGAATTTTCAAGCATACTAGTATTACTCTTCCATCATTATAGCCTATGGCGATTATACATTCTATCTCCTCCCTGCCCTCCAAATGATACCTTTGAAGTTTGAAAAATTTTCTACTCCTATAGCCTAGTCTGCGGCAATATAAGGAGAGTCTACTGTATTGGAAGTTGTTATCACTATAAACATATTAAATTAATTTTTCATCAAGTTTTACATACCAACAAATGATTTGTAGTGGAGTTAAGCCTCTGTACAGCTGAGCGTATCACTGAAATTTGTTTTGCTGCATCATTTTTACCAATGATAGGCAGCATCTTCAAAAGATAAAGAAACAATATAAATACGCGTATTAAGCACGCGATATAGCGTGACGAGTTGATGCGAGTGGCAGTAAGAGAATGAAAATGTTTAGGTGGTCCAAATTTAGAGAGCTTTCTCTAGATTCAACAAGAAGAGAAATATCCGAGGACGTTCACCTTTAAAGTAGCTTCTGCAACCGCAAGTAGTTGGTGTGAAAGTTTAACGAGAATTCTGCCAACATCACGCGGAGTTCTTGCTGCTAAGGCTGTTGTTCCATTCACAAGATGAACGATACGGCGTGCTGATTCACGGGTCAATAAAACCAATAACTGTTCCAGATTGGTTGGCCGAGCTTGGTTTTCAGGTTCGGGTAAACTTAACGTTGCCCACAGTTCCTTCGCCATTTTGTAGGCTAGTTTCGGATCCGTTGCTAACTAAAATATCACCGAATCATTATTTTTAAGGAAGCAGTGTAATATTTAGGAAACGATAATTTCCTGATAATTGAATTGAATTGAAATTGTGGTTCTCTCCATGGTCCGCCGTCCGAGGATCAATAATAATGATTCTACTTACCAGTTCCACCACATATAAAAGTACATGAATGCATTCTGTTCCCTGTTCTTTAAGGGCTCGAGCTTCCGCCAATGTACGACGCGTTAGACGTTTTTGCAATTTTCTTGAAAGGCTGGCGCCATGTTTAATAGTCCGTGTAGTTCTGCTCACTGATTCAGAAGGAGTAATTTCTGAACAGTAATTTTATTTGATTATTTAGCGTTATAATAAAATGTTTCGTAGAACGCATAATGAAAAAGCTGGTGAAAATAATTAAAAATTTTCAAACTTTATCTTTCAAATACCATACCTTCTTTGTCAGTAGGATCAGCGGGCAAATAACGATCAACATATTTATCCGCAACAGTCAGAGCACCGTCTAATGTATCTGCTGCAACATTTGCAGCCTGACTTCCTATCTGCTTCACACTTCCGGCGCGCATCAAGACAGGCCTAACGATTTTATTGCTCACATATTCTCGTGCATTGCAGTATATCTGATTAACAAGAAAAATAATTTAAAAATTAATATAATTGATTAAAAGGCATCAGTAGACTTTAATAGCAAAATTTATTGATTATTAAAATAATTTTTCTTTTTCGATTATTATAGTTATTACAGTCTTATAGCATTAACTTTGTATAAATTCGTTTATATAACGAAGTAAAGGTCAGGGGGCCTGGTCCCAAAATACTAATCAGTCCCCTTGACAAATTTTACCTTAATGGAAATAAATATTCGGATAATATTCGTAAAATATTGAATAGAATTAAGAATTAAGTAATACAGTCGTGAGTCTACTCTATTAGAAACTTGACTATTTCAAGGAGTTTGGTTTACCCCACTTTAGAAAAAGATTCCAGTTAAAATCCTATTTCTGGATGTAAGGCTGGGTCTTAAATGACCCAGTATGTACTATTTAAGAGTTAAGGTGTTAGATAAGATGCAGAAATGAAATTCTTTTATATAGTTTTAATTTAATGGTCAGAAGTTGGACAAATGAACATAAACTTACAAGATGTGGAGGGAGATGTATGGCTGGTACTCTCTGTTCAACAATATCGATACCTTTGCAAAGCAAATGATCAATTGTTGTAATTGGTCCATTCAAAGCATAAATAGCAGGTTTAGCGGATGCCGTTGCGATCGCCAGTGATTGTTCAGCGGTGCATAAACTCCAGCTCATTAAAGAATTTGAACGCTAAATATTTCAATTACTATTAGTATTTATCTATTATAATAAATATAAAACATCAGTAAAAATTAAAACAAAACGAAAAAATGGAAAAAATATCGTTACATAGAAGGCTTAGAATGAGGCCTTCTAAAAAGTAGGGACCCTTAGACCTCCGCTTAATCCAGCGCTGCTTTCACGGAAGTGAAGTAAACGAGTGAAACATTAGAGAAAGTAACTTCAAAATTAATGGACTTTCGAACTATTAAAAGATTTTACGTAGTTACTGCTCACTTTTATTCTATCGTACATGCTTCCAGCTATGTGTATACTGTTTTCAACGATAGGCAGGTTGGAGATTCTTGCTACGGATTCGAAATACGGCAAATCGGAATGCCGTCTCTTTACATTTGTCCGCGCCATTTGTAAATTGGTCGCTGAAATCAATTTAATATTATTAATTAGTAATTTTATAAATATTTTTATGGATATGCCCTTTTGAATATCTGTGTACGAAGAAAAATGATTTAAAAAAAAATTAAATTACGTTAAAAATGTGGCAATTATTATTATGACTCGTTTACTATGTATGTTTAATGGTTAATTTATTTAGTTGATTAAAATAACAATTTTACTGCAAATTTATACTTTATACATCATAGAAATATTACGAAAAATATTTCCACAATTTGTCTAGCGAATTTACATATCGAACATAAAACATTACGTATGTTAATCAATGAAAACGAATTATAGCAACTGATAAGAAAGGTCATATTATACTAAGCTTCTTGTATAATGTCGAAATTACACTTTTCCCTGAAAAAAAAAACTTTGCACGAATCTACTTCGTTCAAAAATCTCCATAATTCAAATTTCCCTTAACCGTCTAAAAAAAAAAAGAAAAAAAATAAGAAAAGGAAACATTAAATTCTTTACAAATTAAATAAAATCATTGTAAGACAAAATTAGCAACCGTTGATGGATCTTAAATTACCGTTGAAAGAATTCTAAATTCAATGTTGACAAACTGACGTCATTCCTTTAAAGTTTGCCATGATAAGGCCATTTTAAACACAGGTCGATACCCCTGTTCTTATCATTCTTATCGAAACACCAACGTAAACTTCAAATTGCAATCTGAATAAAAATTCACAGAGATAAAAAGAAATGAAAAATTTCATATACTTTAGGAACGTTTTCCTTCTATTGAAAGTATATATCGATTCTAGTGTTCTTCAATGATAATTTATACGTTTGAATAATGAAAATGAAAGAAAATGAAAAATTGTTTACGGAGCAACCTGTTGAATCTGAAAATTTTTAAGATGAAGGATTAACCCAGCTGGGTGGCTGATTCTTACCTCAGGTTATGGACCCTCGAACAGGACAAGGGTGTTGTTCTAATGAAAATTATATAATGAAATCTAGGAGGATTGAAAGACAGATGGAAGAACAGAGAACTAGTTGGTGTTTCGTCGAAGAACACGCTGTAAACTGCACGTCGTGGTCTGCGAAACGGTATCTCATCGGCTTGACCTATGACACGTCGATTATACAGGCGCGGCAATCATAATGCTTTACGAATGAAACTTTTCTCGGCTTTCGTTTCAAATTTTTTCATCGGACATCATCGAGGGAAAAGTATTCCTATGGATCGGTCAACGATTGACACGTTGCGAGCGAAGGCCGTAAATCTACGCTCCGGGATACGAGCCTAACACCCTGACAACGTAGATCTACTCCCTTAGGTATACAAATTTGATACCTTGAAGAATCCAAGGTGAATTTTGGCAAATTCTCATCGGATTAGCGTGTTAATCCATTAAGATTGAAGGCAGTAAATCAATTATAAATTCAAATTTCCCCGCGTAAATGTTTATATGCAAGTGGTGGGGAGCCACAGGTGCAGGGCCGACTCAAGACCTTTTACAAAGCGAGCTATTTTCCATTTTTTGCGCCCTCTTATTACCTCCATTTCCCCCTCTAAACATAAATAAGATTACGGAAAAATTAAAGAATTAAAATGGGATGTTTTGATCTTTGCTTTGGTCTATGAGTAATTAAAATATAATATAAAGAAAGAGAAAGCTAAACAAAAAACAAATTATTTTAGCGCCCTTTTCGAATTGCGCCTCAAGCTATTGCTTCATTAGCTTCGGCCCTGCACAGGTTTATGCATATATATATGGGACCCCTGTCGCTATACAATGTATAGTACACCTATTGTCATTCGTCGCAGGGATGCCTACAGACAGGGGCAATTTATCAAAGTAGTGAAATTAGATTGAATTTATATCATGTATATAACTAACTTGAATCTACAGAAGGTATTTTTTAAATTTTTACAATACAATAAAGCGATTAATTTTTTTTTATATTTGAAATTTATAATAATAACCTACGAAACTCCTAAACATATTTAATATTTCAAATATTCCTTTCCTCCCCCATGCATCTTCTGGTATGGTAAACAGCGGAAACGTAAGATAATTTATCAAGTTTCTGTATGGCGTCGAATAATTTTTATGTAACATCAATTTATTGTCGCACAGAGTATGGTATTTTCCATTCCATGGTCGTATCACACTCGTTCTCTCTACGTAGGAGCACACAAAAACGATGAAATTTTCTTATAGACTGGAAGTTATAGATTCACACTTAATAACAGTCTTAGAAAATTTATAATGGAAAAAGAAACTACGCGGAAAACTCGAAATTATCGGCTGCAGACGTAGTTAATTGCTATACAAAGTCCATCACATCCATTGGCGTACAATATGGATTGATGGTGTGGTAATCAGTTGTACGAGTGTGAACAAAAATAAGTTTCATTGTTATTATTTTTTTTGTCTATTTGACAAATATTTTTGAAAGAAGGCATCATGATTCGTAAGCACAATGCAGATAAAATTTATCTTGTATTAATAATTGAATGGAGACAGTGGTAAATGAGTTGATTGATTCTATTAGCAGAAACTGTTTCAGAATTAATATTGCAACGTGCTGACGCATATGTTGCGTCCTATTAATTATTTCAATAATGTTGTTGACGCATATGGTGCGTCCCACTAATTGTTTCAATAGTGTTTATTGCTGTCGCGCCTTCTCTATTAAAAGATGAATATTGTGTCACAGGGATAGTTATCTAGTATTACTCATTGACTTTTTGTAAACAGCATTATTAAAACAATTGATAGAATACATTGTATGTGTCAGCAGCGAAAGCGTTAAGGGAGGTCATTCGCATAAGAACCATTTATTAACATGTTTCATAACTTCATGTTGATTTTTTAATATAATTATTTAATTTATCTCAAATTTTATTAAACTCTTTTTATTAGTAATGAAAAGTAAAATACTGATTAATAATACTTTTTAAAAAAGAAATATCTGATGAAATATGTACAGTAAATATGTACACTAAGATAAAAGTTATATTGCTATGTACTTAGTTCATCAATCCCAGTTTAATTACATGGATAATGAAGCAGGAAATGATTTATTAAGTACACTGCATGCAATAATTGCATCATATATTAAATGATAATTAGGTTCATACAGTACTTGCTCTTTGTATGATCTGAAAAATGGCAAAAAACTCGACAATGATATAGAATAGAAGTCAGTATTGAATGTTAAACGAATATCTAATTGGTATTACTATAATATTTATAATTTTTCATTTTAATAAACGGTTTTATTCAGTTAGCATATTCCCTTTACCCTTCCTACTTTTCTATTCGTACTTTGAAGAATGATTTAAATTTTGAAAAATTGTCAATTTTGTTGTAAATATTAAAATGCAAATTAAGTAATGAACTTACGAGTGTAATTAATATTAATAAAGTTATCGATATCTTTATTGTTTAATTATTTCTGCTCGCTCTAATATTCGAGAGGCTATAGGTTTGAATAAATATGCATAAGTGTGTTAGAAATAACGTAAATATGATAACGTTAGATATATTGATGCTATTTTTGTAATTATCGGGATTCGTAACTTAAAGTGTTGGTATTTGCTTTTGAATGTCAACAAATGTCAGTTATAGTGTAATGAATAAATCAATATGAAGTGTTTAGACTATTACATATTGGTTGGTTAAAATAAAAAATAAAAATATGTAAAAAAGAAAAAAAAGAAAAATAGTGCAATTACAAATCAGCAATTTTTTTTCCTAAAAAACTTAATACCAATGTAATAATTATATATTTAAATCTAACTTGTTCAAATTCAGAAATGAATCATATTTATTTTACATAATATAAATCGATATAAAACTTTTCTAATTTACTTAAAAAAATAAAATGAAACTTTCCTGTCAATTCGGCATACAAACTTAAAATAATACAGTATGCAGATAAAGTGCAGAGAGGTTGCAGCGTAGTGCAATAAAACGAAGATAACTATATTTAGTTTTAATTATCAGAGCTTCGTGTATCATTCAATAATTGTTTAAAAGAATAGTCGTCAAACAACATTATCGGTAATTTATTTTTAATTTTTTTTTTTTTTTTTGTATTCATCACCATTATAAGGCGCTTACGCGAGAAAATAGATGGGACGAAATCACTTTGTCGCTGTCAATTTCATTTATTACCCTGGTAACACGAACCGAGAGATAAGGTTGACGCGATTCTAGCTTATTATTGTTTTCAACATTTCGTGCAATGGAGATTTTATGTTTTCTGCTCGGCACGATTACGTGTAAGAAGACGCAAGAATTTCCATGACAACAAATGATTTATTGCAAATTAGTTTTTTTTCTTATTGCCTTTCATTATCTTATATAGTACACTGGTTCCTTCAAGGGGTTATTCCAGTAGTTAGGCTTAACAAAATTTTGTATCATTTAGTTATCAGATTTTTACAGTAAAATTAAAAATATTTCCTCTTTTCTCTGCTTTTACGTCTTTCATATTAAGACACGAAAAGGTCGGATCAATAAACACTCGTTTCGATGATTAATAGAATAAAAGGTGCCACTAGATTCAACTAACACTAACTAGCAATGTCAAGCGGGAAATTGCTGGCATTCATCTTGAGAAGTCACTCAAGTGATATTTCAATTAACAGGAATAGGATTCCGCAATGTTAATATCTGTTCGTTATAAATGAGAATGACTTTAGAAAACCTGGGTTAATTGTTCTTAACTTCAAAGAACTTAAATGAACGTAACACTACAGAAAACTTTTACTTGCAATTATATAACATATTTTTCCGATAATTTAATGCTAACTAAATACTTCTGAACGGTAGTGTATCTACTGTTATGTATCTTAAGTAACTGGTTGAGCAATAAGACAACGTAATAGAATCGCGTAACCATTGCTAGACTATTTCAGATAAAACCAACACGATCGAGTTGTCTGAGGAGACACCAAATGTTAAGTTTAAAAAATGACGAGATATGAAACAAAATCATTTATTATGTAATTGAATTACTTTTAACTCTGTTTCTTACTCTCTGATACAAGTATTACATCCCCCTTTTAGTCGCCTCTTACGACAGGCAGGGGTTACCGTGGCCGTATTCTGATCCCCGAGCCACAGGGATAACCATGACGTTTGGTATAAAAATTAGGGAATGATAATTTGAAGCCAAAGTATAATGCCCACAAATAAAAATACTAAAATTAAAAAAAATTTTGTTTCTTTAAATTAAAATTTAGATTAAAATTTAGATTAAAAGATACTTGCCACATATCTAATATACATAGTGTCTCCAAGGGCCCACAGATATCTCCAGAATCCACATTGTGATTCAATAAATAGAAAACGGTAGAAAATTAATTTTAAACAAGTTACGTTTTTAGAAAAATGAAGAATTGTTGAGATTTGACAAACGCCATCTTAACGCTACCTCGAGTAACCTCAAAGTTACAGGAGTGCATAGACGGTTAAAGCTCGGCTAGAAGATTGTCATCACGTGTGAAACGTGACCGTCTCACGTACTCGAAACACGTGACAACGACGTCCAGTAATATCTGTTTAATAATCAGAACGAAAACCGAGTACACTGTCTCATCGTTCCAATAATTATCAACTCCCATTCCCCAATCACTCCGGCCATCTTTACGATATCGATCTACATGAACAGTGTCAATAAGGAGCGATCAGATCCATTTACACGGTGTATGCAGATGTAACGTGGTCTAATATTAGCCTCAATCAGGATCAATAAAGAAGAAAATAGCGTGACACGAGTACGCGCTATTATTTATCGTCTATAACGTACACGTGACGCGATTCTCCGGCCTGATATATAAAGGTATCTTGATCTTGAACGAAATTACATTCAGACCCGACGTCCAGTCGAGTATAAGGCATCGAAAAAACCTAACTTATTGCACGTCACTCGTATATCGCCGTCGTTGACGTTTAATTAGTCACCTTGCGTAAGTTTACAGTGCCGAAGTTATAAAACTTGACCGATTGTTCGGTGAAAAACGATCGAGGTAGAGTTTTGAAAACAGAGACACTGAAAATCAATCAGAGCCTCCATCGAACGACGGACTTGTCCGGTGTGTTACTCGAAGAAGTTGACCGAAGGAACACGAAGAAAATGCGGAATCCCAGCACGGAACAGATTCTCAAAGACGAAGAGTGTTTCGAAATAATTCGGAAGAAGCTCCACAAGGACTCGATGGAGGACTTCTCCTTGATCACCTACGAGGTTGTGCCTATAAACGAGGTAAACGGTTTCATGGGTCAGTATTTTACTTTGAAAGCTACCGTAGCCTCCCCCGAATCGCCGATGGAGACGAAGAACATTAAATTTTTCACTAAACTACCTCCGCCCACCACGAGTCCGCAGTACGACTTCATTCAACAATATGGAACCTTCAAGAAAGAGGTGGCCCTTTATACCACCTTGTTCCCGGAAGTGTTGAATGGTTTGGATAGTAAGTGTATCCCGGAATGTTTCCTGGGTTTGGAGAACGACGTGATAGTCTTAGAGGACATGGCACATAGCGGCTACGAAATGACGGACAAACTGAAGCCGTTCGATTATGAACATTGCAAAGTATTGATGAAAACCCTGGCAAGATTCCATGCAAAATCTCTTATTTTTGAACAATTGTATCAGAAGAGTTTGCACGATGAATTCTTCCATTGTATGCAAGAAACACTTTGGCCTCTCAAAGATGGCCGAGCGAAGTCGATGTTCGACGCAGCTGTAAAGGGCATTGACTCAATGATCGATCTGATACCGGAACTGAACGAGGAGCAACGAAAGACTTTTAGAACGAAACTCACCGATCTGTGCGTCAACCACGCGGATAAACTCTTGCCGTCTATTAAACATAAGAATGTACTCTGCCATGGCGACTTGTGGGCGAATAATATTTTGTTTAAGTACGACGTCGACGAGAAGCCCGTGGAGTGCTGTCTCATCGACTTCCAACTTGCCAGGTAACTAAACGCTTAAGCCTAGGACAGTGAATCTTGGAGAGAATCCTAATTATAACGTGATTCATTTATAAAATTTTAAACTCATAATTACTGAAGTATTCTTTACCTGAGATAATTTTTCATTTTTTTCAGATACAATCCACCTGCCCACGACATCCTCTGTTTCCTGCAATTCACAACGACCCGTGAACTCCGAGAGAAACACAGCGATAAATTATTCAAGATCTACCACGATTCTATGGCGGAGGCTCTGGAAGAAGCAGGTTTAAACATCTCTACTGTATTCCCTTGGGACGAATTTATCGAATCTATCGAGGATTTGAAAGTTATGTGCATCACTCACGGCGTTTTGAATATTCCTATCATGCTGTTAGAGCCAACTGCAGCCAGCAAATACTTTTCGGAGGAGCCAGAGCTGTTGGAAAGCATCCTTTACGTAGACAGAACACCCTTGATTTGCGAACAGGTTAAGAGTGTGCCTCAATACCGAGCCAGGATGATGGATGCCCTATTAGAATTATACGATTATGTAACTGGCTAAGAAGATGGGCTTGGCGCAACAGATATTAGAAGTTCTTTTCACTGTAGATAACAGAGATGCACCAGGATGAGTCGCTATCTTGGAAAGTAAGCGACGAGCACAGCGAAATATTTCTCAGGGTATTCAGAAATTCATGAAATCATTAGGCCAATCATTGGAAGTTAACACAGTCATGAATCGTAGCTTTTCACAGCTTCAATTTATAAAATTCTTTTCTTATTACGTCACTTATGATTGCACGAAAGATTGGACAAACATTAAGGACTAATTAAAAATTAGAAGTATATTTCATTCATCTGTAGATGTTCAAGTATTAGTCGCTAATGTTCGTAATTATTAAGGATAAAGAAAGTAATAATTATTTTTCAGGGTAGATATTAGTGTAACTGGTAGAATACACTATTGACTGAGAGATAATTGTGTAAAGTAATGAAAGAGGCCAATATTAAATGAATAATTATAATACAATTATTTTATTGTTATTATTGCAAGCACTTTTGTTAATATTTAAATAAAATATGTTGATGCAAGATAATGTTTTATTACCTATGAACAACGGTAATAAGTTCAGGCGTAATAAAAAGACTGTCAACATTTACTTTTGTGTATATAATTATTCATATCATCAATTATAATGAATATATAGTTATGTACAATATTGAATCTCATTCTTTAACAATAACATCAACAACATGATTAAACAACGTTCCTCATTGGTACACAAATTGTAAATGTACAGATAAAAAAGCATTAGATGAGGTCAATGAGGCATCGAAGGTGGCGTACGCTCAGCGCGCCTTAATTTTCTTCTTTTTTTTCCATTTTTTTTTTTTCTTTCTTTGTTTTATACATCTTATAATTTCCATGTACACATGTACGTATATATCGATGTATTACAGTTTTAATATAACATACATCGTATATATACATATATACATCGAATCATATATATATATATCAATTTTGGTATTTTGTTCGATTTGTTTTTTTATTTTTTTTTTTTTTTTATCTTTTCGTAGATTTCTTTAAACGTTAATTATGTATATTTCGTTTAGATACACACGTTCCACATACACACAAATGCGCCACGTGTATCCGTGCGACGCACGAGAATACGATTACGGGTGATGATATCGATTGAATCAGTGCATGATTTAATTATTAAAGAGAGTGCATGAATAATTTGTATCTCGTAAGCAGCCAGGCACTAGTCGAAACTGAAACAAAAAAAAAGAAAAAAAATATTGGTATCTGAAAAATAAAATTAATTCTATGACTTTGTGTTCTGTAATACGTATATTGAATTAAACTTAAAAAAAATATTTTATATCATTAAGAAAAATAATAATAATAATAATTAAAAGAAAAATTTAAACACCTGGCTTACCCACGCGACGCAAATTACGACCAATCATCTAAAACTCTACACAAGGCTCCGACAAATTTCATTTGTTTTTATCACTTAACGAACAATTTCCACAAAATCTAACGCACAAATTTTTTTTTTTTTTTCGTATATAATCGCATCAAGGCGAGGCAGGGTCACCGAGAATCCTTCGTTTCTGATTCTTTTTTTTTTTTTCGCTTTTCTTTAAAAATTACTAACTCGCCGAACGATTATTATGAAAATCGACTACTCGTGCGCGTGAACTTTCTTTAAAAACGAAATCGCGATTTATTTATTTATTTATTTTTTTGTCTTTTTTCGTTTTTAGAATATTTCTTTTTTCAGCAACGCCTCCGCCAGCTCTTCGAGACATCGAATTTTACAAAAAAGAAGATAATTCTAAATTGTCTTTTATTAATTTTTTTTTTTTTTAATCTTCAGTCAAATTTTATTCGCAGACCTTTCATTTGCTATCAGCAGCATTAAATATTAATAAGAAAGATTTTTCTTCTTTCTCTTTCGTTCGTTTCGAAAATACTGCAGGAAACCTTCCGTTACACTCTCAATCTTCGATTTGTCGAAGTTTAATACAAAAAGAAAAATATTATTTAATAATAAAATGAGATAAAAGACTGGAAAAATGGTAATATTACTCGTGATCCACTTTCAGCCATTTATACTTTCAAAATTTATTCATTTTGCTGGATAAAAAAAAGTACTATTCAAAATAAAGAACATAATTAACATCATACTAAATAGATTATTTATCTAAAATATAACTAAAATTAAATACCTCATTAACCAAAAACACAACAATTCAATTCAGTATTCTTTATGAAAAAAAAAAGATCTATGTGCATACTTGGCCACCTGTATAAATATATATTGGAACTGCAATATTTATTCATAAAAAAAGATTATATTTCAAACTAAAAACTACTTTCATAAGTAAACAAAAACGTAACAAATAATAAATCTAAAATTTTCACTTGAATTATATCCAGCAACGCAAAACCCACATTTCAACATGGAAGCAAAGAAATTTAATGCTGAAAGTGTGTCATTAGTATCTGTTCATTGTCATGACTGTTCAAAGAAAATACATTAAACATTGATATTACCTCGCGAAGAAAAGGTAAACTGATCAACGATCGAATAGAAAGAAAAGGAAAGTACTTGGATGGTGTATAAATCAGGAGCAACAAAAGGCATTCCTTGCGGCTGATGCTGTACCCTAGTCCCGTCCACTCAAGATGGAGTCATCCAAACCGCACACCTCACCAGCCCTTCTCGCCTTAATCGAGCCATACATAGAAAGTTATATACAACGATATAACACGAACTGCAGTGGCAGTGAATAGTGCATATGGATATTGCAAATAGCAGCAATGGCGGTGGCGGCGGCGACGACTCGTAATCGCGATACACGGCAGCGTCTACCACAGCTACATTTTTAAATAATTCCTTGTCCTTGGTAAGATCGTTCCACT